CAACCAATTGTTGATCAACAAATTGCAGCCCAAAATCTGACATACTTGTTTATTTTCCTAGATCTCGTCTACGTTATGTTAAAAGTGCGATAATCAAAAAAAAATTTCTAGTCTCTGTTTATCGATGATTGGGTGGGTGGAAGGAAGTACAGAGGAAGGCTGAAGCAGATAGGTCAAGTGCATTAAGCTTGCGAATCTTCGTCCGCAAAAAAATTTTTTTTTTTTTTTTTTTTGCAACGATATACATAGTTATAATCAAATAGTAAATTGTAAGGGTAAATTGATTATTTAAATAAGCACCGAGAAAAGTTTGGATACCGAGTTTCAAGTTAACTTTTTCAACGCATTTTTACAGATGACGGCTGGCAATGGAGTCAAAATTACAACTTGGAAGGCAATAAAAAATGCGCCTTATCCCGCCGAGGGTGCAGGAAACCAGACATTCGGCTTCTACTCGCTAGTCGCGGCTGTCCTCGGAGGTCCACTCTTTCTCACGCTTTACTTTCATCTAGGTTTTTGGATCTGGCTTATTATTTTTGTCCCAGTCGGAGTGGCCATCTTCTTGGGATTCGTGTACCTCTCCTCCAGATATTCTTCTCCTTACAACAACAAGGTGGAGCTTCCGCGAAAGAAAGTTGAAGAATATTTGACGATGAAAGATGCAACCTTGGAAGAGTACACTGGTCGCAAAAAGATTCCGATGGAACTCTTCTTCGAAAGTTATTTTGACGGAAAGATTGATCTAACCGGTGACGCTCTCGAGATCCTTGAAGCTCGTCATGATTGGGCATCCTTTGAATTCTGCTTAGGTCAAGCCAAATTTTTCTTGACCCAATGGATTCCCGAAACCGTGTGGCACTCCAAGAAGCAAGACGAAGATCAAGTACGAGATCATTACGATCGTGGAGATGATTTTTATGCCGCATTTTTGGGGCCATCGATGGTTTACACGTCAGGCGTCATTTCCGATCCGGAAAAAAACGAAACCTTGGAAGAACTTCAAGAAAATAAACTTAAATTTGTCTGCGAGGTAATGAAGTTTAAGGCTGGTGAAAGGCATCTGGATATCGGGTGTGGTTGGGGTACTCTTGTAGCGCACGCCGCCAAGCATTATGGAGTAGATTCCACGGGAATAACACTCGGAAAGAATCAAACAGAATTCGGTAACAATCGCATTAAAGAATATGGAGTTGATGAAGGTCAAGCACGTATACTTTGTATGGATTATCGTGACATTCCTAGTCGCCCAAGATATCACAAAATCACATGTCTCGAGATGGCCGAGCACGTTGGCGTCCTACATTTTCAGACCTTTCTTAATCAAGTAAAAGATATGTTGGAGGATGATGGTCTGTTCTTTTTGCAGATCGCTGGTCTTCGCCGGTAAGTGCGACTCAAAAAATCACGTGACAACACATTGAACGAAATGTATATACAGTATATATATATTTCTTTTTTTCTTCTTCTCCTCAGCACCTGGCAATATGAGGACTTTATATGGGGGTTGTTTATGGCCAAGTACATCTTCCCTGGTGCCGATGCCTCTTGCCCATTAGCTTGGATTATCAATCAATTGGAGGTTGCGGGATTTGAAGTATTCAGAACTGATACCGTTGGTGTTCACTATTCTGGCACCATCTATCGTTGGTATCAGAATTGGTTAAAGAACAAGGATTCGATTATCAAAAGTTATGGAAAGAGGTATGTGATATTCTT